TCTCGCTCCTTCCGCTGCCAATGAGACGGCCACNCAGTGCGGGTTTGCTGCTGATGCAGTCCATCTGCCAAAAGGGGGGAATGGGGGCCTGGGGGATGTTGTTATGTTATACAGGAGGCCTGTACCAGGTAGAATAATGCTGTGTAACGCAAGACAATATTGCAGGGCCTGAGTGCTTGCTTTGTTTTGAGGGTTTGTAGCCTGGATTTGTCGATACGGCGGTTGGGGGATTGCACGAGATACTTGTATGGGTGCGGTGCGGAGCTCGCATGTGCACACGGAGCAAAACACACCTTTTTACGCTATAGATTTCTTCGCCGCGCACATGTGTGTTGACTCAGTATGTATCAAATTAACGCTTGTCATGGCGACGTCGTGCTGCGTTGGGATTTGCAGCCCATGATTGGACTGACGAGGTGGGAGCGCGGGATGCGAAGCAGAGCAGGGGCAAGCTTGTTTGTTTCCATTATTCATGATTTTATATCTATGTGTGAGATGATGTCTCTGGTCGCGTCGCAGTTTGTTCGCTGGTGGTTAGAATCGTTGTACGAGCCGTTGCATGAGCCGTTGTCAGTGCCGCTCTGAGTGTTGTTGTCATTGCCGACGGCTTTTTGGGCATTAAAGATGCTGTAATCAAGTATATATTGAGCATTTCGCACCTCATATGCAGTGCTGCTTGATGAAACACAGTTTGCCAGGTGGATGTTGTTCGATGGTGTGTCCGGACATTAGCCGCCCGTGGCTGTGAGGTCTCTTGTAAAGGAGAGGCAGCACCATACCCCAGGTCATGTCCTCAAAACATTGACACGTCTACATTCGCATCGCTCGCTTTAGTCTGTGGAGGTGCTTGTGTGGTGTGGACATGTCACCGAACGTCCATTGTCGTGCTCCATTTGAGCACGAAAGCTTTGTTTTGCGCCTCCGTCAAACCTATAGTTCTGCATCGTTCCACACGTGCGAAAGTTAACATACGGGAAGCAGAGCGCCACAGAGCATGGTTTTTAAGAACATCTCGCTTGCACGCCACGGGCCGCCAACGAATACACAATCCTAATGCATACACATGCGCACCCGCGGTCGTTGCGTGCACACAAGAACATCTCGCTTGCACGCCACGAGCCGCCAACGAATATACAATCCTAACGCATACACATGCGCACCCGCGGTCGCTGCGTGCGCACAAGAACATCTCGCTTGCACGCCACGGGCCGCCAACGAATATACAATCCTAACGCATACACATGCGCACCCGCGGTCGCTGCGTGCGCACAAGAACATCTCGCTTGCACGCCACGGGCCGCCAACGAATATACAATCCTAACGCACACACATGCGCACCCGCGGTCGCTGCGTGCGCACAAGAACATCTCGCTTGCACGCCACGGGCCGCCAACGAATATACAATTCTTAACACATGGAGAAGGCTCTGGTGTGACGTTTACAAGCTTGATGGCTGTTTTAGCATGCCGCGCGTTTGTGTGCCTCTGCACGTTGTGTTTGTGGATTTCCTGTAGTTGTCCAGTCCAACAAACAGGGGAGCCACCGGCTAAATGCTTTAAACACGACAGGGACCCTGGGGGATTCGTGTGGGCGCGAATGATGCATATGCTAATAACACTGGGGCCTCCGGGCCCATAGAGCCGTGTGGCTGTATTTTCCTTCGGGG